GTGTGGGTGTGTGTGTGTGTGTGTGTGTGTGTGTGTGTGTGTGTGTGTTACCTGTTTGACATTGTCGCTCAGGAAGACAAAGTAAACGCAGCAGAAGCCGAGCTGGGTGATGATGAGAAACAAGTTGACTGTCCGTCTAAAAGGAAAGGACACACATGGATTATAGTAGGCTTATACAGCGGGTGTAAAATTGGTTGCAATAATAGCAACAGCTGTGTAATTTTATGATGCTGGAGAGTGCATACACATTTTTAACCTACTTTCCCCAATGCGAGTGTCTCCTGAGCCACGAAACATTCTCCATGCTGTACTGGACCGCCTCGCCGTACGTCAGAGACGGCCTGTTCATCCTGAAATGGCAAAACCTTCTTTTGACAAGACATTTATGGAAACAAAAACCAACAAAATAAGTACAACTAAAATTTTCATTCATTAAAAATCCTTTAAAATACACAAAAATCAACTGACTTACTGACGATTACAGTTTGTTTCGGCTTGACTGACAGTGAGGGACGGGTGCCCGGGCTGGTGACGAATGACGCACCAGCAAAATTTTGCAAACTGCCCACTTCTGGAAACGATCAAGTTACGATACAATCTCAATGCCCAGGCATTGTCTTTGATGTCTCCAACACGGCCCCCCGAGTAATCACACCTGTTAGCTTGCTGCTACAGCACGCTGGTGTATCTTGTCTTCTTTGCTATCTGCGCCAGTGTTTACCAAGTGGAGAGAGCATTCTTTTTTGCAGTCTAGAGAACCAACTTTTACGGAAATAATGACATGTTTGAATTTAATTATGGCTGTTTGCTTGTCCCTCGCCAGGCGCCTAGACTCAGTTCTGGACAAATCCAATCGCAACGGCATCCTGATTCGTGGTGAGCAGCCAAAATTATGTTACTGTGGATCCAATTTCAGCGTTGGCATACAAGGTGTATTACAGGACACTCAAAGCCTGTATCTCACTGAGCAGCAAAAGTTGTTGAGTGTTTGCGTCAGGGTTCGTTCAAGGTCGCAAAGATGTTCGCCAGACATTCGACAACAATTTTAACAGCCGCAAAGAGGTTTTACTGTCGCAAAGAAAGTTTGAACATGTTCAAATTTTGAATTTGTTTCATGAACATTATTTCAGTTACTTTTTATTTTAGTTCGCAAACAAAATTTTTTGTCAATTTTAGTTGTCTTTATTTCATGTTTTCATCAACTATAACAACCTTACTCCAGAGGGAAGAAACAAGTGAAGAAGTAGGTCAAAAATAACCAAGTGTACTCCTTTAACCCTGAGCTGGTTTTGTATTACTTTAGTTTTAGTATTTTTCTCCCTCCCCCCATCAGTAAGAGCAGCCACATTTCCCTGGCATCCCTGGTGCCAACATCCAACCGCCATTTTACATCCATTTCAGTGAACTGTAGTCGCAAGCTGCCTTGTAAACAGGCATACAGAATTTGGTGTGGGGTTTAAAATTGAAACAAACGCCACTGGGATCAACACAGTGTGAAAGGTGTTGTCGTGTCACACTTTTAAGTTGAGTTAAGGACAAAAATAGGTATCCTTGATAGGCCGTATCATTGCCCTGTAGCAAAGACAAATTACACTTAAAATTAGCTGTAGAGTGTAAAGACAAAATAAAACAAGTGTGTGATCACAAAAAGAAAATGAGGTGAGACCGGAGTTTACTTTGCACTGAGGTAGTGGGAACAGTCGACCAGCACCCTCATACAGTGCAGCGCAATGAGACCCATGCACAGCAGGCTGACCGGACCCAGCTGGACACAAGAACACATGGGATGTTTTTCAATAATACTCCGTATCATGTCATAAAAGCATCACACAGCCCTACATTGGCAGAGGTAGATCTAAAATTTTTTTAATTATCTATTTTTAACAATGCATTTTGGTCAATGAGCTGTCAGTGTTTTAGATGTCAATGCAGCTTTTGATACTGTGGATCATGAGATTTCATCATCATGGTTAGAATTAGATGCTGGAATTCAAGACACGGCTCCGGAATGGTTCAGTTCACATCTTACTGGAAGACATTTTTTGGGTGACCCTTTTTCATCAGCTGAAACACTCCTTACTTGTGGAGTGAGTGCCCCAAGGCTCTGTACTTTGTTTTCCTTGCATATATTGCCACTCAGTTCAATTTTAAGGAAATACCAAATCTCCTTTCATTGTTTTGTGGATAATACTCAAATATATATGCCGCTCACATCTAAAAGTGGTTTATTACAGTCCTTTCATAACTGAAAGAAGTGAAAGATTGTCTGAAATCTAATATTGTGAATTTAGCTGAGAATAAAACAGAAGTAATTGTGTTTGGTGAACTAGGTTTTCCCTACTCAGGTAAGACATGCCTACTGAATTTCATATGAAACAGTCTTTGAGTAAAGAATTTAAAGGGGGCTCACCACAAGACCTGCATTCTTGACTGCCAAAGGCAGCCCCAGCAGCCCGGTGCCAATGTTGCCCTTCAGCAGGTGGATCAGAGTCTGACAGAAACTGCACAAGTGTAAAAGAGAGTCACAGTAGCTTTCTATATCACACAACAAAGCCTTCTCGGCATTTCTACTTGGCTACGTACGATGTTCCGGTATGCGTGCCGATCCTCTCGTAGTGACGCTGTGTTCGTGAGGGTCCTGGAGGGGAAGGACACAGAGCATCCAGTTCTGATGGGTTCTGATCAGAGAACAGAGACCCTGCAGAAGGGTGAGAAAATAAACCTCAGCAGGACATCCACTGTAGTCTACTGTATTCTAAATTCAGTACACTGCTCTGCATCAAAAAAAATAAACAAAAATGCCAAATATTTTCTACATCAGTTTTTCACACTGCAGACAGTGGTACCATATATTTTGCCCCATATGCTTAAGTTTTTCCTGATACACGCTTGTGCTATTGTTTGGGGAGGCTGTTTTGCCAGGCTATTAGCTGGTTACTACTAGCTCCTACAACTTAGCATGAGTGGATGTGTATCATATAGATGTATGAAGTGCATGAACGAACTGTCCGTTGACATAAAAATAAAAATGCAAAATAGTGAGTCATCCTGTAAGAAAATAAGCCATTATCTTCATTATTGTAAGTAAGTACACGTACTCTAACGCTACACTGCTTTAATATGCTTTACTACTGTACAAATCAGATTTCGTATGAAAAAAAAGGTTTTCTTGCACTTTCTTAAAAAGATAAATAAATAAATTAAAAATTAGCATATAGGGAAAAAAACGAATGGGATATTTGGATTCCACAACTGCCTGTTGTTGGCTGCTTGGTTTAAACTTTTTTTTTTTTTTTTTTTAATGAAGCCCAGTGTTATTTACGGATAAAATTGGGGCAAAAACATTAACACAGACATGCTGATGAAGGCATTTGACGACCCATCGCGGTCTGCGGCTCAGACGTGACACTTGGCTGCACACTGACGCACAAGAGGAAGCGAGTGCAGGCTGATACGAATGTGATACAGAGATGACTACGCATTTTGGCAACAGCAGGAAGGATGTATACTCGTGACCTTAATGGCTCAAGGGAACCAAAGGCCCAAAACACATCGTCACATGACCACAGGTGTCCTTTCTTTTTTATGGGGTTATTTTTTTTTACAGGCTCTTAATTTAAAAACGCTTCAGTGAAACCTGTATAAACAGCACACAAATTACATACAAGACAAGCAGCAAAGTTGCTTAGACACGCAGGCCAGTGCAATGTTTTCCTCTAAACTGCAAGCATGAGCAATTACACACTTCTCTCACGCTCTGTACCCACACAATGACACTGGCATGCACTAAACATTACATTTCTGCACTCATTCCTTCATTTCCACCCAAGTTTAATCTATCAGGGCACCACGCCATTACCACTTAGTTTAAGTAGCACGAACGAGGGTGCACACGCAGTTGTTCTACAAGTTGTTACATTAAAATATTTGCAAATGGTAGTTATTTTTGTTGTTGTTACATGAAAATATTATGCAGACATATCTTCAGTTAGTGTCAATCTTTACATCATACTAAACTAGAGTATGCCAATTGAGACAACTACACATCAGCAAATATGGTCATGCTGTATCGCCCCCGAAAAAGGCGGTGATCAAATGAAAAAGTTGGTAGCACCAGTGCAAAAGTTATCTCGGGCCCGACCTGAATCGCTATTAAATTAGGGTGAGGAATATTGTGATGTATCATTTAATCGATAACTTAACCCGGCCCTTAAATAATCAACGCCATCGGTCCTCGAATCAGTAATTAAAGCGAACGGCAATCTTGTATAGAACGAGTCAAAAACAAAGGCTTTTTTTTTTGTTGTTGTTTTTGTCTGTTTTCATGAAAAAATGAATTTGGAGAGCAAAAGTAGTTGTGGTGCTTGTCATGCCAACATAGCCTAAAAATAAAGCCAACATTGATTAAAGGTCACCCTTGGTAGGCAAGCGTTACATACAGTATAGCACGCCACCGTGGGCTTGTAAGGATGCATGACTGGTCTGAACTTCCTCACGTTAACAAGGCAGTGTCAGGCTTTTCTCTAGGGACACCCACAAAATATCTCTCTTCCGTAATGGAACGTTCACGTCCAAATTCCACACAGTTTCAATATTATCTTCCATTCCCAGGAGAGTGTTATCTAAAGACGTCAAAGCGAGAGCGACTATCTACAAAGATTACATAATGAGTCCAACGTGTCCGTGGACCTGGTCCACATTACTCAGGGAGGCGGCTTTCACACAAGTAACACCCGTTTTCTTTTTTTTTTTTTTTTTTAATATACACGGTCAACATGAACTCCAACATCTTACACTGTACTAACAGGGTAAAGTCAAGTCAATATGGGAGTTGGAGTGAATACAAATCCAACATGACCGCACCCTGCATGTTAACAGACAAGTCTGTTTACAAACGGAGGGGCCTTGGGCATTGTTGCAATAACCATATGGTCAGTCCTATCTGGTCATCGTTTGCTGCCTATGGCGTGATCATTTTACCAACAAATACCAGTTTTGCTCCACTCTGTGTTTATTTGCGCTCGTCAAGAAGACAATTTAGGCTCTTCATTCAACATAGCACACATTTTGTAAAGACCACAGACAATTTTGAGTGTGTAAGAAGGCTAATGTACAGTACATCGTTTTGTCAACATCAAAGACCAGAGTGTTCATTGAAACAAGCAGGCAATTTTGATCAAAGACGATTTAGTCTTCCACCAGTATAACGAAAATTTTTAAAACACTGAACATAATTTAGTCACCACTCAAAATTACATAACACAAACATGATGTAGTCTTCACACAAACACATTGTACTTCAATTAAATAAAATACTTGAAAGCATCTCAAAAATTAGACGCTTAAGACAAATTTGCCTCCAATTTTTAGCCTGGTCACAAACTACTGTACCAGTAATGTAAAGGTTTATGTGAACAATGACAATTAAATGTCTTACTTTTAAACAACTTTTTGTATCATCAAACACAATTCGGTTTTTCACAAAAACAAAAGCAATCTCCTCATCAGTTAAACGAACAAAAGTAAATTTCATTACAACGCAAAGTTAACGTATACATGATTGAAACCTTCTTTTCTTTTTTTATTCCTCTTTCCATATCACCTTAAAAACACACGAGCCAGTGGCTTTGACAAGCAATGACTAAATCAATTTACCTGGCTCGGGCATACGAAGGAAGCCATCCACTGTTATTTATGCCACAAGCACTGGGCCCTAACACGGCAGGCACCCGCTGCCCTTGAGAGACAGCAATCAACCCACTACAGGCTGGACACATTTCCCTCGTGAGACAGCAATCAACCCACTACAGGCTGGACACATTCAAAAGACATGCGGTGATGGTCATTCGCAAAGACACGCAACTAATAACGTGACAAAAACTAAAATAATATCATTTGGATTGATCGTTTAAGAAATGTTTTTTGTTTTTGTTTTTTTAAATGGAGGACAGTGCAGCGTGCTATTGCAGCACAAGTCGACATGGACCACATAGCGCTTGATGGGTGCTTAAAATTCTGTCTCAAAACAAAAGTGGCCCCACCAGACAAGCTGAGTCCATCATTCTCCTATGCGAGTTTTAATAAATGAATGCTTCTAGATGACAATAGTCATTTTCTTATTGGAACTTTCAACTTAAACTATGTTTCCTGAATTTACAGAATACAAGCACATCATGGTACGAGGTCAGGATGGTACCACCTCTGCCTTAATTCGAGTCAGGAAAAGATAATAAGAAAACCTTTAATAGTCTCACAATGGAGAAATTCCCAAGCCCTGGTCAATCAAATCAAAATGAAATGACCTTAATTTTTTGGGTTAAACACCAAAGACAATTAAAATCATTTTTCATACCTTCCCCTCGAACATCATCGCTGGAGGACATCATGTTGGCGGTGCGTCTCACGGCCTCTTGGGTGCTAAAAACTATACGTCAGCGGTTGCAGCATGGACGTCGCTTGACTGCAAGGAAGAAGACAAATGTATTTCACACCAACAAACAATACGTCGACGAGCTCTTTACTGACCACCTTGGCATTAAATAAGGACTAAATACACAATTACACCCAATGCTTTGGCTTGGGGCTGGATAGGATACTTCAAAAGAACCTGCTTCATTGCAAATGAAATTACAAGACCAGAAAGTGTGCACAGTAAATACTGTGACTGTTCTGCCTTTTGTCAGAAATAAACGAAAGGTCTTTCTTTCAAACTGTGACTGTTCTGCCTTTTGTCAGAAATAAACAAAAGGTTTTTCTTTCAAATTACAGGTTTCTGTCATTGGTTTCCATGCTGTGGAATAGTACTTGCCCCCTGGACGGGTAGGTTTGATTTTGTGTGTGTGTGTGTGTGTGTGTGTGTGTGTGTGTGTGTGTGTGTGTGTGTGTGTGTGTGTGTGTGTAAATGAATTAAATTGGCATTTAGAAACTCCATTTGTATTTTACTGGGTTGTCTCTGTGTGATATTAAAACTGGTTTGATGAACTGAAATATTTGTGTGTGCTTAATATGCAAAGAACAGAAATCAGGAAGGGGGCAAATACTTGTTCACGGCACTGTAAATATAAACTTTATATGTCAAAAGTGCGAGTGGTATCGCTTGCTTGGTACCGGTAAATACTCAAGCACCACTTGGAAAGTTGGATCCCAAGTAATTTACCCATGTGTTACAATTTCTACAATTTTTGTAGATTTTTGCGTATTGTCATCTTTAAATCAAAGACAAAGCATAAAAATTGTGTGATATGAAATATTCCAATTCATGTTTTATTTATATAGATTTATATTTATGTTTTGGTCATAGCACAATACCGCTTTTATTGTCCATAGAGGGCAAAAATACAAAGAAAAAAATAAGAACTATATGTGTATGTATAGCACTGATGCCACCGAACATGTCGAGTGGTTGAAAGTAAAATAAATATTCAGGAATAATACTTTTACAATTTTTGTAAAATTGTATGTTGCGTTATATAAACTTATTTACATCGACTGCAGCACATGGGTTTTAAATACATCTAGGATGCCTTGTTTGCCAAATTGCCAACATCTTAAGTGAATTTGTGACTTGAATTCTTGTTAAAAAGTATTAAACCTGGGTGTACAGTGTACTTTTATTTTAACCAGAAAAAGAAAATCACTCTTTACCTAGCGTTGCGATTCGGGCTGAGTCGAACAAATATTTCATCAGTCTCTCTTTCACTCTCTCCCTCTCCCTCATATACAGGGCGCATCAACCTGTGACATCTTGACACTGATGTGAGGGTGTGTGAAAAGTTTTTTCTCTAACTTTTCTAACAACAAATTATCATAGGTCACGAGAATACAAAGTTTGGAGCTGGGAGAGTGCATGTCACACGCACGTACGGTCGTCGCGAAGACGGAACAAAAAGAAAACGTGCATTGAGGAAACAGTTTGTGTTGCAGGAACACACATGCAGCTTGTGTCGGAGCCGCACGACAGAGTGATCGACTGGCTGACGGATGGTCCAAAAATATGCAAATCTCCAGTTATGACTGTCCAAAGCCAGACAGAGATCAGGAAATACCGGCAAATCCCCACTTCGTCCGGAGTGTTCCAAAACATTTGTTTTCAATGAAAAACACACTGAGGATGAGTGGATGACAGGACAAAACGCTGAACAATACCGACCGTTTGCAAAACACTCAGCTATGTGTAGACAAGGTGTGAAAATCAGCCAAGTCAGTCAAGATAAAAATAAAAAATAATAGAGAAAATAAAATCCAATAGAATAAAATAAGAATACGAATAATAAATGGATACATTAATAAATAAGGGTTTAGAATTGTGTTCAGCTGAGATGTATTTTTCTGCTGTCTTGCTTGCTAACATGAACCAAATCAGCAGGACAGTGTTGGTTATTCAGTCTTCCACATGAATGGCCGGCCTTGCTCAAATAACAAAAGCAAATATTTAAACAGGATAGAGAAGTAAATATGTAAATGTTGACGTTTTTCTGTTTTATTTTTCAAAGTAATGAATGTGTACGAGGAGGCTTGACACTCTCGCTTTTCTTTACTTAGCCACACATGCACCTGTGATACGTTGAAACTGACGGTGGTGTGCGGTAAGAAGGTGTATAGGCGCATTTGTCTGACTTTCCGAACGACTCATTATTATCAAGATGGTCAACATGTAATTCATTTTTATTTAATTAAAAAAAAAAAAAAAAGCGACTTTTTTCAGTGACTTCACATGAAAACTGTGTGCAGAGTTGGGATCGCGCGTGCCATGTGCTCGTGCTGTCGCCAAGTCATCCGGGAGGAGGAACAAAAAGAAACGACGCATCATGCGAACAGTTTGTGGGCAAGCAGCAGGGACACAAGTGCAGTTCGTGGCGGAGTTGCAACACGGACTGACGATGACGGTCAGGTGGCTCAGCCACTGACGAATGAGGGGCCGGCAAAATTCACTGACATTACCACCTCTGGTAATCTGGGGGTAAAGAGCCAACCTTTAAAGGCCTCTTTCGCCTGTGCTCTTCGATGAGGTGTAATTATGATGTTTACAAAAATAAGTGAGCAAAAAGCACCCGGGGAATGGTTATAACCAACAGTTTTGCAAGGATCCATGCTGTCTCTCATGAACACAGAAGAACATCAGTCTGTGACGTCAGAGTGACGACATAAATCTTCAGTTACGACTGTCTACAGCCGAATGCAGATTCGAAGATGTGTGCAAATTCCCACCAGGGGTGTCAAACGGCTTAAAGCACAGCTCTGGAACAACAGCGTAATGTACATGTCAAACGCTTGCGGAAACCAACACAGTGTTCAGGGTGGTGTGCTCCAACTATTCTTATGTTTTTATGATCGAGAGAAGCCAAAATTTTAAAAATCATAATTACATTTGGATTAACTGTCCAGCCCTACTCGACCCACCTCTATCTTTTTTCATATTCTGAATTAAAACTCTTCTTCTCCCTCTCATCACTCTGACTCCCAAGCACCACACTATTACTGTACGCAGTTACCTGTATAAATTTCTCACAAGTTAAATCACTATTAGGAGTTAGTTAGTGAGATACTTTAGGAAAAATCATTATTTGCCGTCCGGCGCGGTCCCTATCCCCTGTGAATACCAGGGCTGCAATACTGGAATGCACTTGCAGGCTGGCAAGTAGAGCCACGGTTGCAGTCAGTCAAACACACAATGCATCCAACACAGTATGTACAGTTACTATTTCACTTTATAAAAAAACATTTGAATTATTTTCTTTAATCGATTATCACATTTAAAAAAATGTCCTGGGACAAATTATTTGTATTTCAATTAATTTCAGTGCAATTAAATTCCTATATCAGGTAAAATAAAGAAAATTTGTAAGGATAATGTGAACTTTTTTAAAATCACCGTTTATGGGTTAATTTTCTCATCCCTGACTGCAGATCCAAAAGGAATACGTTTGCAGCCTGGGGCCGTTTACTCATGACAAACAACTTGCTTGTCATCATTGTTTGCTTTAATTGAATTTTTAATACCAGCCCAGCCCAAACCAACTCACAACCACAACAGAGACATGTTAAGAACCGAGATTATGCCGTCATTTAAACTATAGTTGAGCGATTTCAAAAAATAATCTAGTTGAGATCCCCCACTCCTTCCATATTGCAATTTAATAGGTGACAATTTTTTGAAGGTCCTCTTCCCATGTTTTCGAACAAACAAACAAACACATTAATCTGTATTACAATAAATAACTAAATTGTAGCAAAACACAGAGCAGATTACAGGACACCAAACAAATCTGTGGCTTTATCCTCTTCAACTTTTCATGTTTCATGAAAAAAATGATGAACAAGTGGACTGTGACTGCATTGCTTCTGTCTTAAACTTATCTGTCTCTCTTATCTCAATATGTAAAGTCTTCCAACAAGCCAAAATGAAGCAGAGAGGTTACAAGTTGTTTCATTTGTTTTTGTTTTCCCAAATTAATACTGCTGACCAATTTGCATTTATTCTGTATCGATTTTATTAAATTTTCTTATTCACCATCACACAACAGCCACTTAAAACACGTTTATAGTTCAGACAGGGACTTGAACTTGTATGAATTTCAGACAAATCGATGCATTTTTCAGTATTTTGTTCGATCCGAAAAAACAATGTTAGATTTTTTTTTTTTCGAAATTGTCTACGTTTCTTTGTTTCCCCCCTTTTCTTGAACGATAACTAGGACATAATGTAATGCAGAAATGCACTGACGACAATGTTCTCGACAAAAGATACTATCGGTCACGGGGGCACCAAATGTTTGCTTCTCCCGAGGGTGAGGGCTCTAATGTGACCAGGCCAGGAATACTCCAACGACCAGCTCAAATTTGAGTGCTTTGCCCTGGAGGTGGCTACATCGACCCAATGCAGACTCTGCCACCGAACCGTGACAACCATTAGCCACGAATCACATAAAGCCCGACGCAGAGGTTCTAAAAATAGGATTAGTGACGAAGTGTTACGTGTAAGCGACAAGATAACCGCGCGAATTACGCCCATGACAGCCCTAAAATAGTGAAACAACAGCAAAAAAAACAAATCACCATTGCTAGCCGACGTTAGCCATCCTTTTGACCGTCAACACGGAGCGCCACACAGAATATCTTTTGGTTTTATTACCTCGGTAAAAGAAGACGTCTTCTCTGTCGTCACTGGGTGCTTCTGCGGTGTGCGCTAACGTATCCGAAGAGCTTTGGTGCTCATATTGTCGTCGTGTGTGGTTACAAATCCGAGTGAGTTAACTGTCTGCCCTTGCTCGGATGCCACCGAAAGTCGGCCAGAACAGAGCCGAGGGGTCACGTGACACGAACACGGAAGTAGCCATCAGTGCGCGTGATTGTGCTGTTGCCATAGAAACTGACTTTTTAAATTGACGCGTCAGTACGAAGGCAATACTGTTGAATGTGACAAATAAAAACTTATGAATTTACTTAAATGTTGTTGTTTTTTATTTTTTATGTATGCGCTTTTACTGAGATATACGTTGGACTGAAATTGCAGTTGCAATAGTAAGTCTGCAGATAGCAGCAAAGCTCCATCTAGCACAGTGGTTCTTAACCTTTTGAGAGGTACCGAACCCAACCAGTTAATATGCACATTTACCGAACCCTTCATGAGTGAAAAATAAATATATATATTTTTACAAATTCAAGATATAAAAAACAGAAAAAAAGGTAAATAAAATTTCAAGAGATAAGTACAGTATACTTTTTTTTTGAATCGTACGACGTACTGTCACGACAGTCATACGTTGACCACTAAGCGAACTAAATTTACCACAGCACTCATTGGATAAGCAATGTCATGTGATCATCTGCAGCCAGTGATGGCCAAGCAGGCGTATCAAGGGTC